TCACCCGGGCCGCACCGGGGGCGCTGGGCTCCCTGGGAGGGGGGCCGGCCGCCCCAGGAAGCGGGGCCCTCCCACCGCCTCCCTCTGTGCAACCCCTTCCACCCCTCCCCGCCCACACGCAGGCCTGGCAGCGCGCTGAAAGCTGCTGCTCGAGCCCAGCGCCCTCACCCCCTGCACCAGCCTGCCCGGCAGAGGCCCACCTCGCGGCCCGTCGGGGGAACCTACCCGCTGTGGGTCTTAGCGGAAGGAGCGGGGCCGCGGGACTCTGGCCCTGTCTCAACCCTGCCCAAGTCAGACCTGACGTAACTTAGGCCTGATGGGGTGTCAGCGAGCGTGGCGGGGGTGGGGGGTCCCTTCTGGCCTTTGGCCTTTTCAGGGAGTGCGGTCAGCCCCCGCCCAAGGTATTTGGCCCTGACGGGAGGGTTCCCAGTTCCCCGCGGTTGAGCTGCAACTGAGGATGCCAGGCTTCTGGGAACGCCCCACTGGTGACAGTGTGGCCCGAGAGGAGCCAGGCCCTGCGGACAGGGCCCCAGGACTGGCCTGCAGGGCGGGAGGGTCTCCCGGTGTCACCCCAGAGCTCGTGGCGTTGGCTGCGGCCTGGGAGATGGCACGTTCTAGCCAGAAACGAGTGCCAAGCGCCTACTATGTGCCAGGCGCGAGGCAGCAAGGGAACACCACCACCCACACAGCCCCTGTGCTGCTAGTGCTTCTCCGGGGAGGCAGCACGAGTAAACAACCAACCACAAATAATTACAAATTGCCTAAGTGCTGCGAAGACAGGAAAGTGTAATTAGCCAAGGCTCACCTCGCCCCGGCCCCAGAGACCTACCCTCACGCTGGAAGTGCAGCTGCCCGGCTCCCCAGCCCCCCGGAACTGAGCCCCGCGCGGGGAGGCCTGATGACAGCTGAACATTTTCCCCAGCCCAGCTGGGGAAAGGGTTGATTAAAATGATTCAAAAGCCGCCCAGGCGCTTATACAACCTAACTGTGTAAGCCTGTGCGGCCCAGGGGAGCCCAACACCGGGCCCCAAGCAACACAGCTTGCCAGCGCCCAGGCCGGACCAGAATCCGGGTCCCCTGTCTCCCAGTCCAGCCGCCGCTGCCGCCCCGGTCTGTCTAGAACCAGCTCGAGCCGTGGGAGTCGAGCCCCAGCGGCCCAGGGCGTCCCTGCGGCCCCCCGCTGTCCACAGAAGAGCTGCGTGGATGGGGAGGTCGCGTCTGTGCCCCCCTGTGTGCGGTCACCCAGTGTCGGGAAGGGGCCCGTCCGCGGGAGTGGGCAGGGACAGGCCCGGGGAGGAGGGCAAAGGCCAACGGGCAGAGGATCTCTTTGACTTCCCAAGGAGCCCTAGACCTTACCCCATAATCCACCCAGGGGGACCCCTAGAGATTGGGGCAGAGTAGTGGGGTGCTTGACGGCAGCAACTCTGGGTCCTGCGCGGCTGGCTCTCCTGGCTCTCGTCATCACCGCCCCCCCCAAAGTTTCTCCCCCACAGTCTGCTGCCATGGAGCGTGAAACGCCCCAGCTCTGCTCAGCACTCCCTCTCCGTCAGTGGTCAGTGTCCGCTCCCCGCGGGGGGTCGGTGTGGCCTCCTCCCTGTCCCCACTGCCTGCCCGTTTTGACCTCAGCACCCTTGTTTCGCCCCCTGTGCTGCGCCTTCCCCCTCCCCCGGCTCTGAGCCTTCCCAGTCTGCTCTCAACTCCCCAGTCCCAGCTGTGGGGCCCTCAGCAGTTCTTCTCCCACAGCCACCAGTTGCTCGAAGGCCGCCAGCCCCTGACCCGGTCATCCCGTCCCCAGGACTTGACCCCAGGCAGCGCCCCCCTCCGCAGCCTCAGGACAGGTCTGCTCAGAGGGACGGTCCAGAGAAAGGAGGCCAGAGTGTCCAGCCTCCTCTCCCTGACCCAGGCGGTGGCATTCAGGAGAGAAGCACAAAGTGGGCAGAAACTGGGCACGTTGGTCTGGGCTTCCTGGAGGCGTGGCCCAGCGTCCTCGTGGGCCCTGGAGTGAGGCTGAGGCTCCCAGCCGGAGAGCCCAGCCCGTCTTCCCGAGAGCCACCTCCCGCCCCGAGCCGCAGCCGGGCTGAGATGTGCTCACCGGGACATTCACCCCGCAACTATGTGCTGCCACACTACAGGCCTGATGGCCTCACAGACCAGGCTGCAGGCCAAGCGGGACCGGGCACAGGACTGAAACTGTGACACAGGGATGCTGTTCCCAGAAGGCCGCCCAGGAGGCCAGCCCAGGCGCCCGCCTCCCCCAGGACGGAGAGGCGGCAGGGCCCCAGGCGAGGACTCTGAGTGGGCAGGACACTGGGAGGCAGGGCTGCAAGCCTCAGGCGGCGCGTGAGAACGAGAGGAGACAGGTCAGAGGTCGGGAGGGAGGGCTCAGGGAGGCTCGGAGGACAGAAGAGGCAGAGAACTGGTGACCCCTCCCCTCTGGACCTGGGAGGACAGTTTAAGAGCCCCTGGGGAAGGGGCGAGATGCCCAGCGGCTGTCCCCAGCTGGGGTCACCCCAGCTCAGGCCTGAGCAGAAGCCCAAGCAGCTTGTGAGGGCATCTGGGCGGAGCTGGAGACTGACCGGATTCCTGGACATCCTGGAAGATGGGGGCTTTGCCCACACCCCCACCCCACTGCTGTCTCCCCACCCCTGGGGGCCCCAGGCTCCCATCCATCCTCAGTGACGCTGGAAAGACAGGCCTACACAGCTGACCCCCAGGAAGGCCAGTTCAGGGGTAGAGGGGTGCAGGGTGGAGGTGAGGGTGGGAAAGGGGTGCAGGACAGTGGGCTGGGTGCTTCGTGGAGTCTGTTTGGGGCTTTTTTGTTATTCTTCCTGTTAGGCAGCCAGAGCAGTAACCACCGGAGACAGCTGCACCCAAGGAGCCTGCCAGGGCAGGGAGGAAGCAGCAGGCTGGCACGTCCCACCCACCACCAGAGGCTCAGCCGCCCACCGAGCCTCCAAGAGGACCCCCCTGGGCCCCTCAAAAAGAAAGCCGCCTTGCTTGGGCCCCAGATGTGGCCCCGCAATGCCAGCTCACAGCCATTGTCAGAGCGGGGGGCTGGGGGGCTGGCTGAAGGCAGCGGGGGGCAGCCAGAGAGTTATGTTACCCAGAGGAACTTCTGAGGACTGGGTGTCCGACGTGAAGAAAATCCGGGCGTGGGCCAGAGCCCCAGCTTCAGGGTCGCGGGCTCACCGGACGGAATAGCAGAAAGGGCTCACGTCCGTGGCCCATAAACCGCGTGGCCTCGGGCCAGGAACTCCCCTCCACCAAGCCCATTTCCTCCTCCGCAAGGCAGAACTGGGGGGCGGACGGCGTCTACCTCGGATGGCGGCTGCGTGAGCATCAGGGTTGCCAGTGGCCGCAGGGACGTACCCGGCGGGTGGCCCTGGCGGAACCTGCTGGGACCGCCCTCCCCGCCGAGCGCACTGGGGTGGGAAGGTGGGGGCGGCCGAGGCGCTGAGCCGGACGGCAGGCCCTCAGATGCCAGGCAGAGGCAGGCGGAGGCCGGCCAAGGGTGGTGCTGAGGTGGGGGCAGCACGCAGACCCCACATGGCGACCGATGGCCCTGAAGCGCCCGGCCCACCCGCCTGGACACAGTCTCAGGAAGACGGGCAGTCTCAGGACAGATCCTGTTGCAGGAGACAGAAGTGACCGCGACAGCAGAGAGGTCCAGGGAGGCAGGAGGCCGGGCCTGGGCAGCGTGGCCTCTGGGAGGTGCCCGCTCCAGCCCGCTTCTTCCTCTAGCCCCAGAGGACACCGAGAACCCTTCCAGCCCCACCCCCACACCTATGCCCCACGCGGCCCCCTCTCTGCGGGGCTGGGACAGCTCTGGCCAGTCGGCCAGGGCAAGAGCCGCTGGGGGCGGCAGGCCAGCGAGGAAGGAAAAGGCTGGTCTAGAGAGCTGGCCAGTCCCTGGAAGTGGGGCCTCTGGGACTCAGGAGGGGAGGGAGTGCCCTGGGCGGGCTGACCCTCCTGCTGCCCCAGGAGAGGCTCCTCGGGAGCAGAATGGGACCTTTCTATTTCTACTTGATATTTAAGACCATCAAGGCAGGAGAGATGAAGGCGAGTGGGAAGAGGGGGCAGGCGCCCACCTCGGGGCGCCTTGGGGGCCGGGTCCATCTCCCCCACCAGCTGTGCCTGCGATGGTGGCCCTGGGCTGAGCTGCCACGGAGGGAGGCTTGTGCCCCCCACAGGCACTCTGCACGCACCCCCTCCCGGGGCACCGGTAGTTCCATCTCTGTTAACCGGTGAGGACAGAAGTCTGAGCAGCCCGCTGAGTCTTAAACCCAAGTCTCCCCTGCGCAAAGCAAAGAGCCCTCGGCCATCTATTCCTCTCCAGCTGGAAGGTGTGAGGCCCCTCGAAGGTGCCCAATAAAGGCCAGGAGGACCGAAGCAGGGAGAGAGGGAAGGAGATAGGCCAAGGACACCCTGGGTCCAGCCAGAAAGTAATAACAAAGGTGCTGTTTTCTAGCCAGGCAGTCGTGGAGTCCTGGGGGGGGGGGGGGGGGGCAGAGGAGAACCTCACTCGGCTCACTCCTCACTCGGCTGCAGCCCGGCTTGCCTCATCCTCTCCAGAGGAATGTGAGCCGGCTACGTCAGCCCTCAGGTATGCAGGGAGGTCTGCCTGCTGAGAGCAGCCAGCTCTGTTCTCAGCTCCTTGCTGAATGCCTTCCTTCCCTGCCTGCCGCCCCCTCCCAGCGCCAACCAGCCCGGTCTTGCCCCTGTGCCTGGATCCAGGCCTGGCTGGGTTGGGGGCCGTGAACACCCCCTCAGAGTCGTGGATCCCAGCCTGGCACGGAGCTGGGGTGCAGGAGGGCGGCGCCACGTCATCTAACAGGTTGGTCTGGCTGGCAGCGTCCCGCCCTCCGCAGCTAATGAGCACTACACAACAGGTGTTTGCGCATCAGTGCCCAGCCTGACCCGCCTGCGACGGAGCCAGCCGCCTGCGCCCTCCCAGGCTCCCCAGCTCGTCCCGCGCCCTCCCGGCCGGGCCGGGGGCCACCATGACCTGCCGCTCCTGTGTTGTTGGCTTCAGCAGCCTCAGCAGCTGTGAGGCGACCCCAGCAGGCAGCCCCTGGCCCCGGACCTCGGGATGGGGCGGCTGCGGGGGCCCGGGGCCGAGTTTCAGCTCTCGCAGCCTGACCGGCTGCCGGCCGGCCGGCACCATCCCCAAGGTGACCGTGAACAGCAGCCTGCTGGTGCCCCTGGACCTCAAGGTGGACCCGACCATCCAGCAGCAGAAGACCCAGGAGAAGGAGGAGATGAAGGTTCTCAATGACAGATTTGCCTCCCTGATCGGCAAGGTGAGCAGAAGGGGGAGGGACGACGGTCAGGCCCGGGCAGGTGGCTGTGCCCTGTGTTTCCTGGGCACCAGGCCCCACCCCTGCCTGCAGCCAATGGGGAACTGGGTTGCTAACGAGGCAGGCTGGCTCGGAGCTCAGCAGGAGATGGGAAGGGCTGTCCCGAGGCAGCGGGGAGAGAGGGGAGCCCCAGAAGGATAATAACCTGCTGTGTGTTCTGAAGCCACCGCCCAGGGGGGGACTTGGGGAGCTCTGACTGGCCAAGGGGAAGCCCCGGGTAGCAAGGGCTGGCGGAGGCCCCAGTTGCGACCCCACCTCAGGGCGGGTGGACTGTGGCGATGACCTCTCCAGGGGCACCCCTCTGTCTAGGCCTCTGGCTGCACGCAGCCTCCCGGACTCAAAAGCACAGACGGTGCCAGGGGGTGAGTGGCCACCAGAAGGAGGCTGGGGACCAGGGGTGCAGCCCTGGCACGTCAGGAGACAGGAATGCAGGGGTGCAGCCCAGATTCCTGTCCCCACCTGAGTAGCAGGAGTGCGGACGTGCTCTTGGCCAGACGTGGGCTGGGGGACGCATGTCCACCTCTGCCCAAGCGAGGGCTTTGAGAGTTCCCAGGAGCCCTGTCCACGCCCCAAAACTGCCCTCTCTCCCCTCCTCCGGGAAGCCCCTCTGGCCAGCCCTCCCAGTTCTGCCCCCTCCTGCCCCGTCCAGGAACAGCAGTGGCACCCTCAGCTGTGCTCGCCCGGGCATTCGGGGTGCTGGGAGCTTTGTTTCTGCTTCCTCCCTCCTCACGAAAGAACTCACCTCTGCACCCACTGTCCAGCTGAGGATGGACCGCCCCGTCCCAGGGGCCCAGAACCCGCCTCCCCTCTGCCCCGCAGCCCGCTCGCCCTGTCTACCTTCCTCCCCAGGGCGCTCGGGGCCCCGGGGTGGGTGCTCGCAGGGGGCAGAGGACAGGTCGCCCCCGCGGGCCGTGGCAGGCGGGTGCCATCTGCCCAACAGCCACGCTGGCGTGACGAGCTCCCCAAGATGACCCAGAGGCCAGGCCCTCGCCGGAGGTCACATGCCAGAGTGTCCAGTCTGGACTGAACTAGGGCCGTGGCGGGCCGGTGGGCCCTGCAGGGGCACGTTTCGTGTCCCCCCTTCCACGAGCTAGAGCAGTATCTGTCCCCAGGGGTGCCTGGGCGGGAGGCCGAGGAGGGGAGGGAACGGGGCTCAGTGTGCGGGAGCTGGGGGAGCCCCCCCGCCCAGGCTGCACAGAGCCCTCGCCGCCCCGGGGGCAGGTCTCTGCAGAGGCCCCCACTCCCAGCCTGGTTCCACCCCTTAAAGGAAGGTTCCCGGGCCGGGTGCTTTCACCCAGTGGTGGCTTTCCTCTGCCGTGGCCCGGGAGCGGCACGTGGGCATGGGGGGGAGCCCTGGCCCCGGGCCAGGGTCACGGCCCCAAAGGGCTTCAGCAGAACTGGAGGCTCCCCGCCCTCAAGCCTTGGCCTGGAGAGAGGGCTCCTCAGGGGGGTCAACACAGCCGCGGGTGCCAGGCTCTGGGGCCCTGCCGCGGGTGCCGCCTGAGGAGGCCCCTGAACCCCGACTCTAGGGAGAAGGCCCAGAGCTCTTGTCTCCCCCTCCTCCTGGTAAGGAGCAGGAGGGCCCATGTGGGAGAGGACAAGACTGAGGCCGGGGTCCCCAGCCAGGCTCGAGTCCCACCCGCCTCAGACGCTGGGTCACGCCAAGCTGTGTGACCTCAGCGCCGTGGCCCGTCAGAGTCAGGTGGGCTACCTTATGGGGAGCGCACAGTCACCCCTGGTAGCAGGCGACGGCCGACACACTGAATGTCAAGAGGAAGATGCAATGAGCGGGCCCAGGAGGCCCAACACCCAGCTGGCCCCTCTAGGCCGGAGCCTGAGTGGGGGGGGCCGTGCCGGAAGGGAACAGAGGAGCTGGGGGGAGGGGCGCGGGCCAGGACTGGGGGCCACATGCAGGACCAGGACCAGGGCCGGAGGCCATAATGGTGCAGGGGAGGGGGGCTCCATGGGGAGAAGAGACGCCCCCTCCAGCTTCCTGTCCCCTCTGGGCCACTGAGGCCCCAAGGAGGAGGCTGCAGAGTTGGGGGGACGAAAAGAGGACAGGGAGACGCCGGGACCCCCGAGAGCTTGGGACAGTGCTGGCTCTGGCACTGGCGGGCTGTTTCCTGGGGCAGGGCACCTGCCCTCTCTGTGCCTCGACCCCAGCCCCTGCCCTGCTCCTGCTGAGGGGAGCCCCTGAGGGAGCCCCAGCTCCGGCCAGCTTAGGAGCTGGTGCTGCCACAGTCATGAGAGGCAGGAAGAGGAGGGGGTGGCGGGGGGCAACCCAGAGGCCTGGAGGGCCAGGCCACAGCCAGAGGCCGCTGGCCGGAGTCCTGACGACAGGTGGGCATGCGGGAAAGGAGTTGAGGTGCTTGCTCAGCTAAGGAGGCGCAGAGGGTGTCCAAGAAGGGCAGTGAGATGCCCGCAGCCAGAGGGATGGGTGGTGTCCGCCTCTGGGCCCTGGAAGTCGCCGGTGCCATCCCCTGCCCAAGCAGCCCTTCCTGACAGCCTGGGGCCTCCTGGCGCCCCCAACTCCTGCTGGGTGGCAGGACCTGCTCACCCTCGGGGGGCGGGGGGCCGCCAGGGCTGTGGCCCCGGGTTAGGGGCCTGAAGCCTGGAGGTGGTTGGCATCCTCCCGGGAGGGGCTCCCCGCTCTGACATGCGGGTTTCTCCCCACCCTGCCGGGAGGCCCCAGAGTTGAGTACAGTCAGTTCTGTGTCTCTGGGCCTTGGCTTCCACATCTGGAAAAAAAGGGGTGTTTGCTGCCCCTCAAGGAGTTGTCATGTCCCCTCCGTGGGTCAGAAAGGGAGGCCAAGGCTCAAAGCCCGGCAGGCTGGAGGCCGCTAACCTGGCGCCTCGCGGGGTGCAGCGACTACCCCCCTTCCCTAGGCTTTGTTCTGAGGGAGGAGACCTGCAGGAAGGGTTTTGGGGTTGTTTTGGGTGGAGGAAGGAGCCGCACATCTCTTTTCTCACTCCACCCTCAGTGTAAACATGGGGCTCCTGCTTGTCAAAACGGAAGAAAGGTGGGGTGAACAGATACTTCACCCCCTCCCCTGGCACTACAATCCCTTTGCAGACAAAGTAGGCCAGAAGCACTCTTGACCTCGTCCCTACTGAACCTGTTTGACTGTGACTGCAGCACCATGTGCACTTAAGCTCAGCTCGGGTCAGAGCTCACCAGCCAGCTCCTCTGAGAGCTGCCGGGGACTCGACTGAGGCCTGGTGCCATCCCTGCGAATGCCAACGGGCATTTCTGGGTGGCCTCAGTCTCCCGGGGAAGCCCGGGGGTGTGAGTGGGCAGGACAGAGAGGGGACAGCCCGCCTGGCCCGCAAACTCAGGAGCCGACGCCAGGCCTGACTGGGCAGCTGCCCTCAGGTGGGCCTGTCTGGGCAGCTTAGCCACCAGGTTGCCGTTGGCCCTGGGCAAGCCGTGCGGTGCCTGGGCCCGCGTCACCTCTGTAAGGGACGGCTCTGACCACCCGGTCCCAGCGGCTCCTGGCTGTGATCGGGGAAGCTGACGCCACCACGGGAGGGTCTGCTGAGGTCACAGCATCCTGGGGACAGCAGTCCACACTGCCCAGGGGCCAGGCCCCTTCTTCCTCTGGCCTGCCCGTGTCCTGGGGAGCAGGGCTCGCGAGAGGGGTGCAGCCACTCTTTGAGAGAAACTACAGGGCAGCACAGGCGAGGACCAGATCAACCGGGCTTGGTTCTGGAGGAAAGGGGGGGGTCTCAGGGGTTCCCTACAGGAAGGGAGCTGGGAGCACCTCTGGGGGTCTGGAGTGGTGGACAGGTGAGAAAAGCTGGAACCTGGAGCGATCAAGAGGGATTTCTGTGCTGTGCTGGAGCACGAGGGGCCCTCACCCTGCCAGCGCCGGGTATGAGCGCGGCCGGAGCCACTGAAGCAGGCAGCCTAGAGCGCTCCCTGTCTTTACTAGGCAGAGTGAGCCAGCCGGGCTGGCGGGGCCCAGGCCAGGTGACAGCAGCCGCAGACAGGAGGCGGAGTGCAGGGGCTGAGGGATCCTGAGCCCAAGCCACCAAGGTGCCAGGCCCGGGCCACCCGCCAGTGCTGCGTCCCTGGGTGCCTGGCTTGACCTCTCTGCGCCTGACTGTGAGGTGCAGCTGGCGTGGGGCGGCTGAGGGTCCCCGAGTGAGACGCAGCCAGCTCCTGGTGCCCTCCGGAGGCTTGAGCTGTTGCTACTCCAAAGCGTCCTGGTTCTGCCCTCAGCAGTCCTTAGAAGCTGGCGGGATGGGTGCTCACCCCAGCGCTCGCTGGGTAAACTGAGGCTTGGAGAGGCTACAAGCCCAGGGTCGTGAGGAGGTTTAGCACTTAAAAGCCAGCCCCGGTCCTAACCTGCTGAGTTTCCAAGTCAAGATGAGACCAGGCTTGTGGGGGGCGTGGGGAGGGGGGTAGGAGAGGGAGATGCTGGCCGGCCGGGAGGGGACCGGCCGGCTCCGAGGCCCCATGCTCCCGAGTCTCCCACCCGAGCCCCAGGCGGGCACGGAGAGCTGTCACAGCGCTGCGCACGGCCGGGCCCTGCCCGCATCCGCCGCTCCCCTGGGAACCTCTGCTAACCGGCCCCGCCTCCCTCTGCACCCTCTTACCGCGCCATTCAGTTTCAGCAATCAGTCACTGGAAATGCGGTGAGGCCAGTGGGTGTGCGCGGGTGGGCGGCGCTGCCCAGGGCCGGCCGCGCCCCTCGGCCACGGCCCTCGGCGCTCACGCAGCCCCCTGCCCACGCAGGTGCAAGCGCTGGAGCAGCGCAACCAACTGCTGGAGACCCGCTGGCGCTTCCTGCAGACCCAGGACTCGGCCCCCTTCGACCTGGGCCACCTGTACGAGGAGCATCAGAGCCGGCTGCAGGAGGAGCTGCGCAAAGTGAGCCAGGAGCGGGGCCAGCTGGAGGCCAACCTGCTGCAGATGCTCCAGAAGGTGGAGGAGTTTCGGGTCAGGTCAGTTGTCCCTGGGGGAGCCGAGGGCAGGGAGTGGGCATTTGGGGGTGCGGGGGGAGTCAAGCTGGACCCAGTGCGAGGCCCAGGGACCCGAAAAGAGAGGAAACTCCTTTAAAGGAAGGTTGTCTGTCCAGACGTGTTTATTCCTCACAGTGTGGCGGGTGCAGCTGCCCCAGGCCCGCCCCCCAGCCCCGCCCCCTCCCCCGGCCCTCACCACAGTGACTCTGCAATGAAGCCAGCCCTAGCCAGCTCAGCCCTGTGCTAGCGGGCCCGGGCTCACTCCTCGCACCCCTAAGCATGCTCGCTCTCACCCGCCTGTCCGAACGGTGACTCAAAGGGTCAGAGGATGCAAAACTGGACGGCAGCTTGGCTCCCCCTTTCGTGGGGAAATTGTCACGTCCTGAAGGAACGGTCGGGCCCGTGCTTCATATATTGTTTGGGATTTTCTATCTCGTCTGTGCTAGAAAGGGAAGGGGCCAGAGGGCAGGCAGAGTGCCCAACAGCTGGGCTTTGTCTGAACGAAGAGGCAAGTTCCCAGGGGCCATGCGCCAGATCTCAAGGGCCTGCAAACACAGTCCCGGCTGCAAGACATCTCCACACCTCAGTGGGACAGACGGGTGGACAAGCAGCCAGCAGGCCGTGCAGCTGTGTGGTCAAGGGCCGGGTGGGACGGGGATGCCAAAGTGAGCCTGCCTCTTCCAGTGCAGGGACAGCTGGAGGCCAGAGTGAGCGTGGGGCTTGCCCCATTCCTCTCCGGGAGGGTCGCTCTCCCCTCTCTGAGGGCCTCCGTGTCCCCATGGGTGAGTCTGGTTGGAACTTCCCAGCCAACAGACCGGATCTGCAGTCCTGGCCTCTGCTGAGAGTGGTCGAGCCCCTCCCTGGTCTAGGGGCCAGCTGGCCCCCAGCCCTGCCCACCCGGACCTAGGGGAACACCCAGGGAATCTGACAGCCTGTGTGAGCCGCCCCACCTCGCCCCCTGACCGAGATGAGGGACCCCGTGTCCACTCAGTAGCTTTCGCTGGTCCAGAGTAGGTCTTTGACTCTCAAAGGGTCAGAGAAAAGCAGAACTGGGGGGGGGGGGTTTTGGCGCCCTTTGACAGGGAAGACAACAGGGGCCCGTGGAGCTCAGGGGCTTGAGCCCGGGAGCAGGCCATGCTGAGTCCCAGGCCTCACCGCGGCCTGCCCGAGCCCCACCGCCCATCCGCCAGGCACCTTGTACCTGGAAGTCCTACACAAACACTGCTTGTTGCAATCTGCCTCGGCGTCCTCCCTTGGCCTGCTGCCTGGCTTCCAACTGCTGCCTGGCTTCCAACTGCTGCCTGACTTTAGCGTTTAAGCTCGGGCTCTCTCCCCCGTCTCGGGGCTGGGAGCCCACCCAAGTTGAGGGAGGGTAGGCCGAGGGCCTCTGGGTCTGCCCACCGGAGCCAGCTAAGCTACCACTTGGCTGAGCGGCATCGGGGCCCTGGGAGCCAGGAGACGCCGGGCCAAGCCCCGGCAGGGAGGGGTGAGCCTGCCTCTTCGAGGCCGATGAGATCAGCTCCACTCCTAGAAATAAACAAGGGGGATGCGGGTGTGACAGCCCGAAGATCCAAGAACGGGTTTGGGAGCTGGTGGCTGGCAGACTGGCGGAGGATGGAGGGTGGAAGTGGGGAGATGGTATCGCTCACGCCTCTGACGGGACAGACGCTTCCTCCAACCGCTTTGATGTAGCGGGACCCCACGGATCAGCTAACCGACCCTTCTATTTACTGGGGATAAAACAGAGGCCCAGAAGGCCACCCAGGGGCCACCCAGCTTGCCCGGGGCCACCCAGCAAGTGACTCAAGAATGCTGCTCGCAGCACAAAGCACCTGGCTGATATGAGTGACCCGGATGAGAAGGGGGGACAGGAGGCTACCAGGGGGCTGGAGAGGGCAGAGGGAGACAGGAGGTGGCCAGACAGCTCAGAGGACCCACCGGACAGCTCTCCCTGGGGTGCAACCCCAGGCAGGCAGAACGTTGCTATGGGGTGGGGGTGCGGGGTGCCCAAGTGGTGAGGGCCAGTCCCCGACCACGGTCCCCTGGGCAGGGAGCTCCTCAGAGGCCCGAATCTAAGGGGAACCCTGGGGGGCGAGCGGGGGCCCACAGAGCTCAGACGGTGTGGACCGTAGTCGCTGCAGCGGCCTGGGGCAAACACCTCACATGTTCGCCTGTTTAATCCTCACTGTACCATGACTGAGGCCCTCGGGGTCTGACCACGGTCACAGCTGGTCAGCAAGGAAACCAGGACACGAGGCCAGGTCAAGCCGTGAGGCTCTGGCAGCCCACGTGGGGGCGGCACAGCACCCCAGCCGGACACCCGCCAGGCCCCCGTTTCCTCATTTGTAAAGCGAGGGCAGCAAGACCCCTCACCTGAGGGCTGAGGGTCACAGGCAGGGCACAGGGCGCGCTCCAGGGCATTCTCAAGGCCCACGTGGGCTCCAGCCTGCAGATCAGTCTCCACCCCCCAGGAGACCCCCCC